CTGAGATAAAAGTATCTACAATCAAAATACAATAAAAATGATATTATTGAAACATGTTATTTTTTTAAGGTTATATTATAATTATGATACAGATATGAAATACATGCACACACCACAGGGACAGCGATTGATTTAATGCGTGGACGTGGTATTAATAATTATACTAGTAATAAATTAAATAATTACAAGTTAAAAGAAATATTACACGTCTAGGCGCCTATCTCTGACTTGAATCCCATATTACAATTTCCAGTCACATAAACAATAGACACCATAAACAGACATTTTAATGTTCTTTTAGTACATTATGCTGCTCACGTGGTTCGTAGTCACAGAGCACGTGACATTTGAGTTAATTCCTTCCGCTTTTGGCGCCACCTAGAGGATCTATACGCATTGATTGTGACTAGAAAGACCGGTATGCCAATATAATTTAATTTTCTGTTTTTTGGTAACTTGAAGTCTGTAAAGTTTATACCTAATGGTGCATATTAATATATAAAGACTATATTTTATCTTTAGTAGACCGGACAGTGGTCTACGCAAAACCTAAGGCTAGACAAACATTTGTTTTAGGTTTAATAATACATTAATTGTAATTTGTATTACATATGTTTTATGTTAAATAAATATTTCAATTATAGTGGAGTTTTACTGAACTGAATACTATCTGTAGTTTACACGAGAGAACATTGAAATAGAACACTTTAACGGTTTAAAACGTGAAATAAATTCGTAAACTTATTTATAAATTATATTGACTACGGCCCGACGTTTTGGATTCCAACAGCCGTGGTCACAAGTGGGTCTTCGCGCAGTTAAAATAATATGTAAATAAGTTTAACTAATATATTTCTCGTTTTAAAACATTTAAGTATTTTATTTTAATTGAATTTTACCCACTAGATAGATGCCATTTAATTAGTAATCGGAAAACACAATGAATGCATAATGTTTTATCCCATACGATATAACACCAATAACTTTAATATCGACACATAAATTTCACATTAGACCAACAAAATGTTTATTCCACCCTCAATCCGTACAATGTGAAGTGTCCTCGACACTGTCATCGAAATTTTCAATATTAAACGTGTTTAACTTACCTAATTATTCATATAATGTGTTTTGTGTTGTATAAATATTTGATAACGTTACACGAACTCTAGTTAACACGAAGCGCGGCTGATAATATGATATTAATTAATTAAGCTCATAAATGTAGCGAGTACGTAACGGGAGAAGTCGTCTACCAAGACGCTTTCCCGCTGAAAACATAATGGAAGTGTTATCGCTAACTGCTAACTAGCTGCGCGACGTGTTCATTTTTAATTTATAGCCTAGGCTTTTTCTACTAAGAGAATTTCACAGGTCGGCTTTGTAACATACTTTCGGCACGCACGCTTATAAAATACTCGGAAAATAAACAAAATTTTGTTAGATACAATAGTTTCAACAATTCTTAGCTATAGTTACGTACATTAATCAGGTTGATTTTCAAAGATGTGCAGTCTTTATAACTTACCTAGTCCATTAGAGATAAGTGAACTATAAACAGAAGTAGTTTTACAAAGTCATTCTATCAGTTACAAGCTTGGATAGATATACAATATTATGGTAGTAATCGAATTGAAGCTATTTTTCACTTAAGCTATGGACTAGATAGTTACAGATTGAGAATCATTTTCGGAATATTTTGTTAATAATAGTAATACTAAGTAGAGTAATAAAATAAGTAAGTTTTTCACATCAATCTTTAAGACTCCTTTTTTAACAACGAGTTAGCTTTAATTGTTTGATTACAGTTATCTTTTTATTTTAAGAAACGCTGATATATGCGCATGTAAGATTGTCATATAACGTTAGTAAACCTATATAAATAAAGATATAGGGTTCAAGTATGTTTTTAATTGTTTGGAAGTTCATTGTAACGGAGTTCGTTGTAATCTAAGTTTAAATTGAAATAAAACGAGTTATAGCTAAATTCTAATCTATACTAATCTCAATGTTCTGCGCTATGGCTAATAAGAGCGAATAAACAGCGGAAAATACGGTAAAAACGGGGAAAATTTATCATCCGCTGGTTCAACATACACAAAAAATATATAAGAGAGAATGATTTTTCATTAAATTATCAAATAAAATGTCCGCGGCACTATATGTCTATCGCGAATCGAACGACGAGTCGCGAGCGATTGGACGCGTCCGATGACATAGGTAACAGTTTGCGAAAACAATTTTGGTTGTCCAAAATAACTATTCTACGCGGACGAAGTCGCTGACTCAGCTAGTGTGTGTTAAAAAGATTTACATAAATATGTACCTGATAAGGGAAGCATAATATTCTTTTAATTAAACTTTGAGTATACTTGAGATTTACAGTGGTTTAGAGTGCCATTGAAGGCTAACTTGTATATGCTGTAAGCAGGTTAATTTTCTCATTTTAGCATGACACTGCGGTAGCTGAGCATTGCTAAGACAAAGCTCTTCAGACAGAACCGCCCGTCTGGAAAACCCTCCACCGCAGAGGAACGTTGATGAAGACATTCCCCTCAAATTGCACCCCAAATGCGGTTACGAGATCATTATGGATGAGTATTGTTAGACGTAATTTATTACATAACTCAATTTGACTACATATTTTGAGGTTACCTAGCGTTGTATGGGCAATCTTGCTTGTAATTTTGCATGTCATTTGAAGAGAGAATTATGAATTGATTTCTTTAGACAATATACGCAACTGAATAGAGAGTAAGAAATATGTCACAACTATTAAACTAACCCCTTTTAAATTGAATAAAAGTAGCATTCTTTAATGTATTATAACTAGATCATTTTAAACTCGGAAAGTAATTAGTGAAACTTATGTATAATTTATTTTCGATTTTCGATCATAATACAAATACTATTTTTAATAAAATCATTTAACGGTTTACGCTCCGATGTTTCGGTTGCTTCGCAGCGGCCGTGGACATTGGGGGGGGGGGGAGGAAGACGTTTATATATTTTGTGTTATCAACCGTACAAGTGTTTTATTTAAATGTGTAATACTCGCTTAAACTGCAGACAGTATTTAAGTATTTAATACACAAGCGTTGTATATAAAAAAGATTTTCTTCTAACCGAATACCAATTAAGATTCGCGTGCGCTTGCGCTACAATGAAACTTGGCGATAAAAGGAGTGGCGGCGAGTTTCTTGCCAGTTCTTCTCTTTCGTTCTACGCCCTTGATTTGAGAATTGGAAGTAAATTTAAACTTAGAGTCTTTAGATTTTGACTAGTTATCTACGTGAAGGAATGATTTTTAGTTGACTTTATATTTTATGGACTGTGTTGTAACAGTATCATTATAGTGCCACTATGCCCGCCTTATCCGTACCACCATTGTCTGTAATTCATAAGCACGAACGTCGCCGGCTAATCAATCACACTGCGTCTAATCAACGCTGGGCTTTTTAGCCCGTGATTACAAACGTGTGCGGTGTTACTTTCAAATCACGTCTGAGCCCACTGTAATAAAACAATTAGCTACTTCATTGTATTGTGCTGGAAATTCAGAAGCAGGTTCCTAATTTGAATTGCTTTAACGAGACCTACTCGTTGTGTTATAGATGTGGTAATTGTAACGGTAAATAGAGAATCTATATAAATATTATTTTTAATCATGATTAAGAAAGAAAATAATATTTTTTCAGGCATTTTTTAAATGGCATTTATTTACATTTAGTGACTATCTGTTGATGTCGTCCTTGTGGAGACAAAATACCACATTTCGTATATTGTTTTTTTATTTATTCAACAAACCGAAAACTACTCCTCGTTTTATCTATTACATCAAAACTACATATAAAACTATTTTAATCATTTCTATTTAACAATATTATTTTATTAAGAGTTAAGAGATTCTTTATACTATACTGTTGAAAGTCGATTATTTTTTGTTTTCTTTTTTATTTAAAATTTTTTAAAAATTTACAGTGGTAATACATTAAAAAATCACTTCTTTAGTATATAAGTCGTCTTCTTACGTCGTAGACTTTGTAGTATAAACAAGTTGTCTATTTGAAAACAAACCTAAGATTATAAAATCGTCAGATGTTTCACGTGATAATGAAAACGTCTGTAAAGATGTCTTATGAATGACGCCCCTCGGCAGCGATTTAACTTGTCAACGAAGTAACAAATGAACGTGCTCTCGACAAGATAATCTCTACAACAGTATTATGATACGTACTCATCAATTTGTGAGATGATTTGCAAATTAAATAACGCGTACGAGATAGACATAACATAGGCGCATGCGAAACATAATATGGTTGTTTTACGCGAAAATAATCCATACCAATATAGCTAAAGGTGCTAATCAATGATTACCTACTGTTTCGAATGGAATTATTATTTTTTTGTGTTAATTAGAACATTTATTGAAGAAGGTTATATACTATAAAATATCGCGCAGTGACTAATACGAGTAAAGAAACTGCGGGTAATATGAAATAAAACGCATCTGAAGTAGTGGGTTTAATTTTAAAAAGATGATAACGAGGTTTGCAAAATCAAATTTGGATACCCAAAATTAATATTTTACGCGAACGAAGTCGCTGACACAGCTAGTATATTGTAAATGCGAATATTCCAATAAAGGTAAGGCATCAAAATAAGTACAACTAAGTATAAAGTAGTCGTGTAAAGGTCACGTATAGAGATGTATGTACGCAAATGCTACACATCAAAACCTTAAACTAAACTAATTACTAATGTTAGGTCGGAAAAACGATATTAAACTCTTAAATATTAATTTATTATCCAAAATTAGGCTTAACCGACAGAATGCGCGCCAACGTTCGTATTTGACAGTTCCTGAGCTAGTGTCGGGACGCGCGCGGTAATCGCGTCGCAATAGTGTTGTGTCGTCCCCGCTAAATCGGAGGATTATTCATATCAGTTCGGCCATCCTGTGTAGTCCTTCGCCCTCGAAGGATGAAGTAGCGCTCCCGCTAAACCGCCGCCGTCAGGGCTGCCAGCGCAGCCACGTAGACTCGGCTCAGCCACCTAGAGGAAATAGCCTCGTAGGCAGTAAATAGCCCCGTAGGCAGATAATAGCCCCGTAGGCAGTAAATAGCCCCGTAGGCAGTAAATAGCCCCGTAGGCAGTAAATAGCCCCGTAGGCAGATAATAGCCCCGTAGGCAGTAAATAGCCCCGTAGGCAGTAATAGCCCCGTAGGCAGATAATAGCCCCGTAGGCAGATAATAGCCCCGTAGGCAGTAATAGCCCCGTAGGCAGTAATAGCCCCGTAGGCAGTAATAGCCCCGTAGGCAGGTAATAGCCCCGTAGGCAGTAATAGCCCCGTAGGCAGTAAATAGCCCCGTAGGCAGTAAAACCCCAGCACAACATAGCCCCGTAGGCACAATATAGGCCAGTAGGCACTATGAAAGAGTGGTGACAGCATCTTGCTTTAATTCGTCCTCTGATGAACAACTGTCTTGCGTTGCTTTCAAAACCTTCATTTAGTCACCTTATGACCAACCTTGTCACAATTGTTACACTTGACCACCTTGTTTAAGTTATTATTTTAAGCATTAAATGAACCCGAGGATTTCACTTCAACGCAGTCCGATGATGTTTTCATACAGGCCAGATAAATTGCTTGAGCTATCACATCATCACTCATATTACATGACATGCCAATACCCAGCTTATCATAGTAAAATTTTATTGGGTCTTCATCTTTTGTCTTGATACGGTTAACAAGTTCCCTAATCTGTGACAACTTATTCTTAGTGAATGGAATTGCTGTAATTCATTTTATTTTCCACTCATCCCAGCTAATGTCATAGCAAGTTTGGCGTTCATACCAGCTTTTAGCATAGCCACCCAACTTAGAAGTGCAGTTGCAAATCAAAGTGCGTTCATCCCAGCCATGCATAATAGCAACACCTTCTAAGTTACGGAGCCAATGTTCTACTGAGACAGATGATTTTTGAGGATTAAACTCAGGTATAAAATCATTCCGTCCCACATAACGAACCACTGACTCTACTCTTGGTGTGGTGTCACCATTATTGTAATTTTTCTGTTGTAATTCTTTAATCAACCCTTCTAATGCTTCGATTCTCTTATTCTTCCTTTTAAGTTCTTTTTTTTTGTCGTTTACTTTTAGATTGTCTATCAGAATTACTTGACCCTGACAAAGAAGGTCTAGTAGAACTATTTCTCTTCTGGTGCCGACCCATGTTAACAATTAAAATAAAGTCACACACAATAAACTTATACTGCTGTCTCTAACACTAATAATTTTCTTTGAATAAAATAAACTTCTTTAACAAAAGTAAGTAATAAAATTCAGTAAAAGTTCAATTATCCAAATAGTCCTTAAATTTAGTTTATAATTAGCACTTTAACAACTTAGAATAGTTCAGTTTGTTTATTTATGGGTTGCTGAGCATTTTAACAGATATTAAAGTATGCTCAAATTATCAGTCTACTTATGTAAATACAAAAGTTCATGGAACAATCTCACCAAATAACCAGGAACATTTCAACACGCAACTGATGCATCTTCAAGCACCCTGAAATGCAATCGTCACCATACCAGGATAGTTCACACAAATAAACCAGTTTCTCAACCAGAAAATGTTCACCAAAAACTTCTACAAACTTGTTGTACTGGAGGTCAGTGCCCCTTAACGGATTGACAAAATTTGTGCAAAAATCAAGTATTAAGTACTGATCTGCATTAAACTTAGTTACTACAAGCGTTCTTATCACTAATTATGTGTGTCATCACCAAATTATATAATAAAAGCGTCTTTTCGCATCCAAAACCGCCAGTTTTTTTTTTCACCAAACTTTGCACTTTATAAGTGAAATTATCGTCCAATTCATCAAAGTTCACTCGTGGGCAAGATCACTTATCGCACTTCTGATACTGTTAGGTCGGAAAAACGATATTAAACTCTTAAATATTAATTTATTATCCAAAATTAGGCTTAACCGACAGAATGCGCGCCAACGTTCGTATTTGACAGTCCCTGAGCTAGTGTCGGGACGCGCGCGGTAATCGCGTCGCACTAGTGTTGTGTCGTCCCCGCTAAATCGGAGGATTATTCATATCACTAAATTAAATTCAATATCTTTGTCCTATTACAAAAAATAAAAATATATTTTATTTGAAAACTTTATTTATTATTAAGTTGTAGTTTCTTGCACATACAAAACAATTGCGCGTGCGTGCAGGGCAGGCTAGCTCAATTGGTTAGAGCACAAGTCAAGTCCACAAAATGTCGATTTTTCGACGCAATCGAACAATGAAATTTATAATTTCCAAATATATAAATCAAATTCAAATCCGACAAGACGGACTTGAACCGACTTTACATCCATGCGTGCTGTCGCTTTAATCAAAGGAGCTACAATGTCACATACGTCATCGTACCTTTTTCAATGTGATGAGGATGATATAAGTCTATTAGTAAAACAGTTTAAAATAGCCAGTAGAAGTTTGAAAGTTCAGTTAGAATTCTGTATCCGCCCTCGGCTTTACTTGTAAAACGAAACGTGTATATAATTAATGTGTCTGCAATATTCTCTATGAAAGCCATTAGACAGACCGCGTCGTTAGCCACAGATAATTTTAATATTTCAAACGTGACATTAAACTGTGTATTATGGACCAACTCTAAGTAATTGGACATTATGAGCACTTCTCTCATTACTGGGCTTGCGCAGTTCCCAGGGGTGCAACGCTTTACATATTTGGCATGTCTAATTTAACGCAGCCGATATGCAAATCTTAAGGACCCTCCATTATTGGAAGCTATTCGATTCCTCTCCAAATTTCTCTGAATTACTTGAGCGAATCTTTCGTTGAGTCCTCTTTGAGTCGTTTGATCTCAGCCGTGTATTGACATATTTGAAATCTGCATTGTAAACTTCACACCGTACAGTTTACAGTGCAGAACGAGATGTAATGTAATTATTTGGTCTTAGAAACCATTTTATTATCAGATTAGCTTCTTTCCGCGTTAAAAAAACTTAACTAAACTATGTCTTTTTATTTTATTAAATTAATGTTTTTTTTTCTTGTTTTATTGTGTTTGTGCAATTTTTAGGTTATACTTTTGTGTTGAGTTATATTATTATGTGCGTACAATCATGTTTATTGTTAACTAGCTATGCACGCACCTTTGTCGGCGTAGTTGTAATAGTTATTTTGGACATCATATTATTTATTTTGGCCAACAACCTCCTCAGTTTTATAAATTATAGCTGTAACTCATGACGTCTTCCATCCTGTCGTTCTTACGAGTTAATCTTAACGATATTTTCGAGGACGGAGGATTTTAGACCATTTAAGTAAGAATATTCCTATCGTACAGATGTTTTTTTTTTGTTTCTAGAACCGCTGTACACGCAACTGGAATCTCTCAGTCTCCAGCTTCATAATATTAGTATTATGTAAATCGCCGTCGCTTCTCTCTTGCGCCACACACGAAAATGCGAATCAAACAAACTCAACGTTACATTTTGTCAAGATTCGAAGCTCAGACGGTATTTAAACATTTTTAGCAATTCTTTCTTTATGTGCTTAACTGCCACCACACCTGCTTGCTCAAGGGCATATCACCCCTTTGTTATACAGTAGCGATCTGCCGTAAGAATTTAAGGGATGTACCTTGGGGGTAAACGGAACCTTATTGTTCAAGCTGTATTTTATTTAGCGTTCTATCCCTCTTTTGTTTTCTAATGAACGAAAATCCCGCGCACCCCACGGACTGAAATTACATTTTTTTACTCGAATTTTTAAACAGAGGTTTCACATTGAGTTTGTATTTTCAGGAAAAAAATGAGAACGCTGAAAACATTACATGGATTATACCGATGTTTTTGCAGGTTTTTTGATTAAGCCTAAACAAATATTGGTTAAATTATTTAATTAACCGACCGGCTACGCTTATAGGGCAATGTGGGATGTTTAAATATTTTCAGGTGTCATAAATATTAATTAAACGAAGGCTAAATTTAAATCATGATGTTGATATTGTTGTTTTAGTTTTTAGTCATTAAGTTTTAGCATTATAATTCTTCGATAAATTTTCTCACAAACATAAAAATAATGTTTCATTTCAAACCAGTAATTACTGAGATTAGCGCTTTTAAACAAATAAAGAAACAAACTCTTCAGGCTTATAATATTAGTATTAGGAGTAAATCTCATGCCTGTCTGCACTCTTCTATTATAAATAAAAATTATAACTTGTGGTAACAATTGAAAGTTTTTCCAAAATATTCGCAGTCACATTATAAACTAATTTAACTAAAGAAAGTTTTAGAAATACAATTCGTACTTGAAATTATTATTAAGGTTATCGTACTTGAAAGGAGAACTTATTTTCGCATTCCGAAGTTCAAGTTAGGCAATCACAAATCATGAGACGTCGCAGTCCGCCGCCCGCAAGCATTTCGACTTTATTAAAATTTCGCTCCGGAACAATGGAAACACCAATTAATTGGCTCGTTGTTAACAGATTGCTTAATTAAGGAAACGGAATAAATAAGGAGAGTTTAGTAACATGGACTCAAATTAATTTTAATGATAAACGATATACGCGCCGCCCTTACGGTAACAGTTATAAGTAATTAATTTCGAAAATGGAATTCTGAAATTTCAGGTTTTTTACAGAATAGCTAACGCAACACTGAAAAAAGCTGCTGAATGTCGGTTTTCGTTTATTTTTCGTTTGCGTAAATGTATGTATTGTAAATATACGAACCTAAGACAACCATCGGTCCCAGCTTATTACAAGCTGGACGTTAGACAAAAAGGGCAAACGAAGAAACTCCTCAGGTCGTGGCAGGAGGACTGCAACGAAAACTGCTGGCGTTATCTGAGGAAGACCGACGGATGAGCATTCTACTGCTAAATGCGGACCTAAAATATTCATATGAAGTGTATAATATGTGAAATAATAAAATTCATTCATTCTTCTACTTTATTGTAAATACAGGTTATATAACCTGTATTCAAATTTGATGCCTCAAATGTCCTCGATAAATACAAATGTTTTTGATAATAGAACTCTCTAATCTATAACAAATAGACTAGAGAACCTCGTTGCACCCCAGTATAACTTTCGTCTGTCTGTCTGTATGTAATGTGTGTAAAAATCTTTGAAAAAAATCTACTTACTATTTTTACGCGAATATTTCCTATATTAAATTTAGTAGCTGAAAAATTAATATCCTGAATTTCACAGGGGAATTATCAAAAACTTTTATTTTTGTCATATGTATTTGTGGTATTTATATATTCTTTTAACTTAAGTTATCTTTTGTACGATTAAGTGAACTATAAATAGTCAATGAAAATGTATCTTTCAAACATTTATTTGTAATTTTCAAACTACCGTGTGAAAGAGAAGTGGTGTGGTATAACATATTGAGACAGAA